GTCCACTGTACCATTTGATTTTGATGGGTGTGCGTGGCAGGGAATGCGATGTAACCACTTAGTGCCACGCTCCTTGGCCCAAGTGCTTATAAGGTTGTTTTGGAAATGAATCCCTTTGTCTGACTCAGTTCTTTCTGGGGCTCCATGTTGCCACAAGACTTGCTTTTCTAGAGCCAGGATAGTATTTTGGGCAGGAACATGGTGCACGGGATGCGTTTCCAGCCATCAGGTTGCTTCCACTGTTGTACGCACATGGCCTTTGCCATGGCAAATTATGTGGGAGTGTGATACAATCCACCAGCCAGGCCACCCATATTTATATTTCAGCCATCGTCCTACATACAAAGGGGCTTTATTTGCTTGTTTTGATTAATTACAACGCATATTTCACATTCATGGATAAACCATGAAATAGCATCCATGATCACATCCACCCCTCAATCGCAAAGCACATCTATGGGTTGCATCTCTTCCTTGGTGGCCTGGAGTGTCATGGGCCCACTGAGCTAGAAATAATTCACTCTTATGTAGCCAGATCAGATCTACCTGCCTCTGCTGAAGCTAAGAGAGGTACTCAGTGAGTTCTTTGCCTCAGTCAGGCTTCCTACAGCTGTCGTGTCCCCGTCGTGTATGGCTGCAAGATTAGGAAACACGGGAAGACTACTGCTCACTTCTGCAGGGAGAAATGTAGTCATAGCTCAGTTAGAGTTGAAACTGGCCAATAGTGTGGGAAACAATAAAACCATTTTTTTAATATGTTAACAACAGAAGGAGAACCAGAGAGAACATTTGTTTGTTACTTGATGAGAATGACTGCCTTACCAACGGGGACATGGACAAAGCAGACATATTTAATGCTTTCTTTGCCTCTGTCTTCTGCAGTGATGTTGGGCTCTGGCACCTCAGGTGCCTGGAGTTGAAGGACAGTGAGTGCACTAACAATCAGTTCCCAGCCAACCCTGAACTTGTTTGGGATTTGTTGCTCCACCTGGAAGTACAGAAGTCCATCAATCACCAACAGCCTGAGATTCTGCACCTGGGCAGTGGCAACAGTAGATGCAACCTAGGGGTTGAGATGCTGAAGAGCAGCCCTGCTGAAAAAGATTTGGGGGTCTTGGTCAGCAGCAAGTTGAATGTGAGTCAGAAGTGCTCATCAAGCTGCTTTCCACTATCTTTCACCAGGGTAAGATTAGGTTGGACATCAGGAAAAGCTTCTTTACAGACAGGGTTGTGAAGCACTGGAATGGGCTCCTCAGGAAGGTGATTGAGTCACCATCCCTGGATGTTTAAAAACCATTTGGATGTGGTGCTCAGGGATATGATTTCGTGGTGGGCTGTTAGAGTGAGGGTAGTATGGTTAGATTGCAGTTGGACTTGATGGTCTTTAAGGTCTTTTCGAATCTGAGCAATTCTATGACTCTATCAGCAGTCTTGATCAACAGGGGAGGTCTCAGAAGACAGGAGATGGCCTGCGTACATAAGTGTGACACTCATGTGCAAGAAAGGTTGGAAAGAAGATATGGGAATCTCCAGGCCTGTCAGCCTGACCTTGGTGTGGGGGATGTCATGGAGCAGATCATCTTGAGAGTGGGACCAGACCCTAGGGGACAACCAAGGGATCAGGAATAGCCAGGGAGGTTGGCCAACATCATCTCCTTCTGTGAACAGTTGACCCGCCTCGTAGGTGAGGGAAAAGCTGTGAATGTAAGTGTACCTGAACTTCAGAAAAGCTTTAACTGTCTTCCACTGTACTTTCAAGACAAGGGACAGATGGATTTGAACTTGGCAAGGGATGTGAAAAATAACAAGAAGCAGTTCTTCAGGTACATAGGCAGGAGGAGACAGACAGAAGGAGTGTTCTCCCTCTGATAAATGAGAACGGAGAGTTGGCTTCCTCAGACACAGAAAAAGCTGCTGTGCTCTGTAAGTGCTTTTCCTCAATCTTCACTGGTGGTCAGGATCCTCCACATGTCTGCCAGGACCCTGAACATCTAAGTGTGGGTGAGAGGAGCAGATTCCATCCCACTGTAACAGCGGAACAAGTCTGAGTCCTCCTCATGAATCTGAGTGTACAAAAGTCCGCGAGGCTGGATGATATGCATCCTAGGGTTCTGAAAGAGATGGCTGATGTGTTTGCCGAGCTGCTCTCCATCATGTCTGAAAAATCATGGCTGTCTGGTGAAGTCCCTGGTGACTGGAAAAAGGAGAACATTATTCCCATTTTAAAAAAGGGAGAAAGAGTGACCCAGGGAAGTACAGGCCAGTGAGCCTCACCTCTGTGCTTGGGAAGATCATGGAGCAGATCCTCCTGGTTACCATGTTAAGGCACATAGAAGACAAAGAGGTGATCTGAGACAGTCAGCATGGCTTCAGCAAGGGCAGATCTTGCCTGACCAATCTGGAGGCCTTCTGTGATGGCGTGACGGCTCCAGTGGATGGGGAAAGGCGGTGATGTCATCTACCTGGACTTCTGCAAGGCCTTTGACATGGTCCCTCACCACATCCTTCTCTCTAAATTGGAGAGGTGTGGATTTGAAGGATGGACTGTTGGATGGATTAGGAATAGGTTGGTTGGTCGCAGACAAAGGGTTATGATCAATGGTTCTGTGTCAGGGTGGAGGCCGGTCACAAGCGATGTCCCTCAGGGGTTGGTCTTGGGCTCGGTGCTCTTCAGCATCTTCATCAATGACAGACGATGGCGTCGAGTGCAGCCTCAGCAAGTCTGCAGATGACACCAAGCTCAGCGATGCAGTCGATACACTGGAAGGAAGGGAAGCCTCCAGAGGGACCTGGACAGGATGGAGAAGTGGGCCCATGTGAACCTAATGAGGTTCAACAAGGCCAAGTGCGGGGGGCTGCATTGGATCGGGGCAATCCCAGGTATTTACACAGACTGGGGGAAGAGCTCCTTGAGAGCAGCCCTGCGGAGAAGCACACTGGGGTTCCTGGGAGATGAGAAGCCAAACATGAGGCAGCAGTGTGCGCCTGCAGCCCGGAAGGGCAACTGTGTTCTGGGCTGCATTAAAAAGGGGCGGCCAGCAGGGACAGGGAGGTGATCGTCCCCCTCTGCTCGGCTCTTGTGAGGCCCCATCTGCAGCGCTGCGTCCAGGCCTGGGGCTCCCAGCACAAGAAAGATGCAGAGCTCTTTGGATGGGTCCAGAGGAGGGCCACTAAGATGATCAGAAGGCTTGTTTAGCTTGGAGAAGAGAAGGGTCCAGGAGACCTCATTGCAGCCTTCCAGTACTTGAAGGAGCGTATAAACAATGGCCAAGGTTAACTGTATGAGTTTCAATAGGGCCAAGTGTCAGCTCCTGCATTTTGGTCACAAGCCCAGGCAACCCTACAGGCTTGGGGGGAAGTGGCTGGAAAGCTGCCTGATGGAAAGGGACTTTGGGTACTGATGGACAGTCGACTGAAGATGAGCCAGCAGTGTGCACAGGTGGCCAAGAAGGCCAGTGGCATCCTGGTTGTATCAGGAATGGTGTGGTGAGCAGGACCAGGGAAGTCATCCTGCCCTGCACTGCACTGGTGAGGCCTCACCTCAAATACTGTGTTGTGTTTTGGGCACCTCAGTACAGAAAGGACGTGGAGGTGCTGGAGCAGGTCCGAAGAAGGACAACAAGGCTGGTGAAGGGCTTGGAGAACATGGCCTGTGAGGAACTGGGAGTATTTAGTTTGGGGAAGAGGAGGCTGAGGGGAAACCTGATTGCTCTCTTCCAATAGATGAAAGGATGATTGCAGCAGAGCGGGCTTGGTCTCTTATCACAGGTGACAGGATGAGGGGAAATGTGCCAGGGTAAGATTGGGTTGGATATCAGGAGACACTTCTTTACAGAAAGGGTTGTGAAGTGCTGGAATGGGCTCCTCAGGGAGACGGCTCAGTCACCATCCCTGGATGTGTTTAAAAACCATTTGGATGTGGTGCTCAGGGACGTGATTTAGCAGAGGGCTGTTAGGGTGTGTGGCAAGGTTGTGGACAGACTTGATAGTCTTTAAGGTTTTTTCCCACCTGAGCGATTCTATAATTCTATGATTCTATGACTTCACCTGACCACCACAACTACTCAAATATCATTGAGAGTGCCTTGGCCTCTGTCCTCCTTTGGACTCGGCTGCTAGTGGTGTGGCTGAGCATCCTATTTCTGCAGCTGACTTCATGTCTCTCAGCTCATTTCTGCCCTCTCCCTCTTGGTGCTGCCATCTTCCCCAGACTGACCTCCTGTGAAATGATGCAGCCCAAGAAAGTAGAAAAAAAAACACAATTAAATCTGTATTTCGTACGGGAAATGTGTCTTTGAAACTGTGAAGCATGAGGATGAAGGGAGGTGGCTGCAGCCACCTTGGGGAGCCGACCCTCCTTGGGGACACAGCCCTTCCTGGGGACCCAGCGCTCCTTGGAGACTCCACGCAGTGGGGAGAAGAGGCAGCAGGGATACTCACAGGCCACCATTACTTCCCCTGCCCTCCAGCACTGCCACCTGCAGCAGAAAGAAGTCTGGGCCCACATCTCTCCCTGCTGGAGCGTGAAACAGCACAGCAGTGTGCCTACTGTGGTGACAATGGGGACTGTAAGCAGGCAGGGACCCCAGAGACAGGTGATGGGTGAGACCATGACCGAGCAGGTCATCCATACCAGGCTGGGGACGCGGTGTGTGCTGTCCCCACTTAGAGCCTGCTGGAGCTTGGTTCTCAGCACCAAAACACACTTCTGTGGTGGAAATCTGGATGGGAGGGGTGGTGGCACAAGCTGTGGCTGGACGCGGTCACTCCCAGGGCTCTGCCCGGCTCTGGTCCCATCTGACACAGACCTGTAAGATGGCGCGGGGTGCAAGGGGCCCACTGGGATCGGCTCCTTGTTCTGTACAGGATAACCAAGGAGTTGGGTCCTGTACCAAACCGCTATCTTCAGGAGGCATCAGGAATTTCCTGAACTCCGTGTGATGGTCCCAGCGAACGTCTGGGAGGTTGCAGGCACCCATAAAGACACGGGAATCTCCAGGTATTATTTGGGATGTTATTTTTTATTGCGATTATGTGACATACTATTACATGGGATGCTACTATTTGGATATAGATTGAGTAGTATAAGAAGGATTAAATTTTTCGTTCTAATTACTTAAGATACCATTACCTTGGCTACTATTATTTGGCTATAGATATTAGCAGTACAAGAAGTTGCTGAAAAGAATTGTTGTACCCAGATAAGCACTATTATTAACAAGTAATTCTATTTTCAACGCCTTCAGAACGGTCATCTTTTGAGAGAAGCAGACATGTGGAAAGATGAATGATGAGAACAAGTCTCCTCTGGAGTTCTGTGCTGTGCAATGAGACTCTGGAATCCTCTGAGATGATCTTGCTGAGCTTTGCCTGGGAGAGTTGGGAGATAGCACCCAAAGCCTCCAAACCTTCTTGGTGAACACAATCGTTCTGGGGGACCTGAACAACTGCTGAGGATGCAGCCCTCCTTGGAAACCCAAATCTGGTGGGAGCTGAACCCTCACTGGGGAACCCAACCATTCTTGGGGACTGGACCATCAGTGGGGAAAACAGCCCTCTTTTGGGAACCCAACACTTCCAAGGATCCTGCTTGCCTTGTGGAACCCAGACCTCTTGGGGACCGAACCCTCACGGGGGAACTCAACCCTCCTCGGGCATCCAGGTCCCCTGGTGACCCAACCCTCTTCTGGGAACCCAGATCTTTTGGGGCCATAACCCTTCTTGGGGACTCAAGCACACGGGGCGCAGTGACACCAAATGTACTCACAATCAAACTTTCAAGTTCCTCTTCAAGGCTCTTTTGCTGCAGGAAAAGAATATCTTTTGTCCTGGGACTTGTGTGGCCCCACTGCAAATGCCCCATCCTGGTTCCATACTTACAGACTGAAAGCTGAAATCCCCCAGATCCAGCAGATAGAGAGCAAAGTTGATGCAGTTGTTCTCGAATAAATTGTACTTGGCTGTGCTGTTCATCAGCTCCTTGACTTTTCTGTTGAAGGTCTCAGGGTTGATCCCGTCCTTTTTCCTGAGAACCTTGCCTTTCCCCCTCTTCTGCCTCATCAGCTGGAATCCTTCCTTCCTTATTAGCCCAGCACTTGAATTGTTGATATCTGAAAAGTGAAGAGTTGGCCATCACCCTGTTGCTCTGTGGGCTGCCATGTCATGAAGGCAGGGCACGTGCACTTACTGTGGAAGTGGATGACCTCCCCGTCCCCACAGTAGACAACCGCGTGCTTGAAGCTGAACGCAGCATTGCTGCTGGACTGCATGTTGAAAAGCACTATGTCCCCAGCCTCAATGCTGTTCTCTGATACTTCCACAAGGATGTTCTTATAATTAGGAAGGACATCTCGTAGGAGGAAATCTCTCATCTCTCTTGCTTTCTCCTTGGGAGAGAATGGTGAGAATCAGCTTCAACACAGAAGCAGCCACATCACCCCAAAACTCTGGGGCAGCACACGGAGAGCTGGGGAGAACGGTGATTCAAAGCCCTTCTACTCACCGAACAACAGCTGCTTGAGCTTCCCATCTGCAAGGAGAGAAAGGAAATGTCAGCACAAGCACAGCCATCTTACCTCACTGGAAGTCTCCTGTCCCCCCTGCTCTCCTGATGCTGGTCCGTCCCCCGCGTGGGGCTGGCAGCGTCCTTACAGTGCTGTGCTGGTGGGCAGAGGTGTGGGCAGGCAGCATGGTGCTGGGGCCGGCACACGCAGCGCTCTGCTCCGTGCAGACACGAGTGGTGAGCGGGACGCTGCTTGGTCAAGTGAAACCAAAAGCAAAAGGAGGCAGGAAAATCCCAAACGGCTTTCTTTTTCTGCTCCTCAGAGTGTTAGTTTTAATTTCCTCTGGTTAGTATCAGTGCTAACAAGTAGCTTTTTTCTGCAGATAACTCCGGGTGTTTTCATCTTTGGCAGATAAGGGAAAGTTGTGGGGTTTTGGCCGGGCACTGATTTCAAACATTCAATCAGGCTACAAAGCAGTGCAAATAGGAAGGCACAGGTGAACTAACTCTGTGCTATGGGCAGGTCAGCTGAAGGTCAGGGAAGAGTTCTGCGCTGGAGTGTGGTGCCATGGAACATGCTGCAGTGGGCACAGCAACAAGACTAAAGTTCAAGAAGTGTTTGAACAGTGCTGTCACGTGTGAGGTTTGATTTTGTGCGTTCCTGCGCGGAGCTGAGCGTTGGATTTGATGATCCCCGAGGATCCCTTCCAATTCAGGATATTCTGCGGATCTCTGTCAAATGGGACGGCAGCAGATACTGACCCCTCGGATCCCACTGCTGCGTGCTTCCAGCCAGACCTTGTGCCACCCTCTGCTCACCACCCCTGCGGTGCTGAGAACCAAGAACCAGCAGGCTCAAGGGGAGGACAGCACTCTCCATGTCCCCAGCCTGGTATGGGACGCCCTGCCTGGTGCTGGTAGTGGTGAGGCACCTCCTGTGTGGGGACAGTCGTGGGGTCCCTGCCTGCTTGCACTGAGACATTTCTTAGCTGTGAGCTATTGAAGGAAATCACATGCACCGTTTGAGGCTGGCATCAGAAACCAAAAGTGCCTGTGAAGAGGGTGTGGTTTCCATTGGAAGATGAAAAGTCCTATTCCTTTATCACTAGTAACACGCAGAGATAGATGGACAGAGAGACGGACGGATGGATGGATAGATAGATGGATAGATGGGAAGCCGAGAAAACCTACAAGGTAATTTGGCACAACAACGAGTTGTGTCAGGAAGGTATGCCGTTCCTCACAGCACTGCGTGCGTGGGGGATGGCTGCACCAACATGCACACCGAGAGAAGCAGCGACGACGTACTGAAAGGCATAGCGTATATATGTTCATTACATTCCAAGGACATGGGCAGAAATTCCAAGGAATAACTAACATCTCCGGTGGCCGGGGGTTGCATTCAAATTGTAAATTTCCAGCCTTTTAAGGAGGGTAGCTCACACTGGTTCCCACTGGTGTTACGTTCAGCTGAGGCATCTGTTGTGCCATCTTCAACGACAGGACATCTGTTCTTCTTTTTATCTTCACTTGACAACACACCTTGTGGCCTCCTCCAAACGCTTTTCTTGAGCTTATATTTATGCAAGTCTCTGTCCTTCAGATTTCATCTGCTCAAGTTATGCACAAGGCAGCTCTCACAATATAGGAAAGCTGTTCTTGTGATTCAGATGGAAGGATAGATAGATAGATAGATAGATAGATAGATAGATAGATAGATAGATGATAGATGATAGATAGATGGGTAGATGGATGGATAGATAGATGGGTAGATGGATGGATAGATGGATGGATAAATAGTTGGATAAATGGATAAATAGATGGATTGATGGGTGGATGTATATGTAGATAGGTAGATGGATAGGTAGATGGATGGATGGATAGCTAAACGGATAGATGGATAGATACTGCACATCTTGTGTGGAGAATTGTGGCAGGATACAAGTAAACACTCAACCAATTTTTAGATGTCACGGACTCATAGAATCAAAGACTGTTTGTGTTGGAAGGGACCTTTCAGGACATTTAGTCCCTGTCTGTTTGCCTTAAGTTATCCTGAGTGGCATTTCACATCCTCAAGGACTCTGATAGAATGGTGACATCCTGAAATTGGCACAGAGAGCAGAGTTCCCTCATCGGTGCTGAAGTGATTGCTGAGCCCACACTATTTCTGTGGCACTCTGAGAGATTTCGTAGCCAAGAGGAGGCATGACTGCAAGATGCAGGATTGGGGTGACAGCCCTCTGTGGGCTGATCTTTGTATCTGTAGGACTGTTATGGCTTCCCAGGGCCCCGTACTGCACTGTACTTTTTTCCTGGAGATACCAGAGGGCTACAATGCCTTGCCTTCCCCCCCCCGTATGCCTAAGGCTTCATACTTTGTACAGTGTGCAGACTGACTGTTGGACTAGATTAGAGGGGAGACTGAGATTGAGGTGAGGAAGAAGTTTTGTACACGAAGGGCAGTGAGGCACTGGCACAGGTCGCCAAGAGAGGCATCGGGTGCCCTGTCCCTGGAGACACTCAAGGTCAAGCTGGGGGGCTCTGAGCACCTGATGGAGCTGTGGGTGTCTGTCATGGTTTTGTGATTTTTGGCTTTCGGTATTCCACATCCTAACATCATGTGGGGCACTGGGACTTTAACTGTCAATGCTCAAGTCCTGGGTACCTGCCCTGAAGAGAAGAAGAACTACATTCCCCAGGGGACCTTGCGGTCAGGGAGAGGAGGTTTAACTCCTGGCAAGGTCACCTGATGGGCTCTTTCTCGCCTGCCCTTCGTCGTGGGCGCTGCTCCCGTCTCCCTGCTGCTCAACTGGACTGCGCATCTCACCTCAGCATTGTGGTGAGGCCTATCCACTTTTCGGACATTCTCTCTCTCTCATTATATTTGATTTACTAGCTTCAATTCTGATTATATTGTATTATAGTGTGTTATCTTGCATTCCGATAATATACTTAGTAAATTAGTTTGTTTCTCCTCAGATCGGTGCCGCTGTTTTTAATTATTTTGGGGTCCCCTGTTTCTTTTTTTCCGGAGGCGTGGATCTGCGGATCCCTCCGCCCCGCTCGTCACGGAACTGGGCCGAACCAGCCCTTAAACCGTTGACATTCTTGGTGGAGAATGCAGGCACAGGCTGTTTTTTAGCTTTTGAGAACGAATCTCTCTCTGCTCTCGGAGAGCTTTGGTGAAAAAGATAAACTTTCCCTGTGCATTGCAGAAGGGAGGGACTGATGGCCTTTAGGAGTCTCTTCTGCAGAGTCTGGCCCAAGGATAACCTGATAAAGAAGGGGGGAAGTCACGCATGACTGGGGAATGGGACAGGATGTAGATCCATTTGCCGTCCTCTGATAAAGAGAACTGCCCCAAGCTGTGCAGAATGAGGCTGTAGCTGTGGCTCTGTCTGTCCCCTCACCTTGTCTGTGCCTAGCAGTGTGTAGCTTAGTACTCATTGTCAAGGGCCTGACCTGTGACTGGAAGTTGTCAGGGAAAAGAAAATGTGCCGTCTGTGGCAAAAACATGGGGACCGTGGAGCTGTGCGCCGTATGAACAATCCTCATGTTTTTCAGAGCTGAATACGAGATCCTAGGGATCCAGTGGAGGTTCCTCTGCTATTCTGCAAAGCCACGAGTTTTTCATACCCCTGTTTATGTCTTAGTCTGCATGCCTTGTAGCAGTTCAGTCGCCCTTGCTATCATGGGAAACTGCATGTAGATGAAGTATAAAGTCAGGATGCTGGTGGGCAGCTTTTGGAGCTCCCATCAGTCGGCCGGAGACACCGCAGCTTGCAAGCCCCTCATCCCTCAGAGCCCACCCTGCGACAGACAGGTAGATGAGACAAAGCCTAATTTACCTTCCAACATACGTGATTGTAGAAGGTATGTGCAACAACTTGCTCAGGATGCATTTAATGCATTGTTTTGGTGCACCCGTGTCAGAGAAGGGAGATCTCACTGTGGCCTTCCAGTGCTTGAAGGGAGCATAGAAACAGGAAGGGGGACGGCTGTTTCCATGGGTTGACAGAGGCAGGACAAGGGGGAACGGTTTTGGACTGAGACAGGGGAGGTTCAGGTTGGATATGAGGAGGAAGTTTTTCCCCCAGAGAGTGGTGAGGCAGTGGAACAGGCCACCCAAGGAGGCTGTGGATGCCCCATCCCTGCAGGCATTCAAGGCCAGGCTGGATGTGGCTCTGGGCAGCCTGGTCTGCTGGTTGGCGACCTGCACACAGCAGGGGGGTGGCACTGGATGAGCACTGTGCTCCTTTGCAACCCAGGCCATCCTGTGATTCTCCTGCAGTAGCTGCAGCCCGTGGCTGGGCAGGCATACTCCTTGCTGGGTAAATCCAGCTGGGGGGCCGAACCTGTGCAGGACAGGAAAAGGACTCCCAAAAGTTCAGAAACAGGTGTAGTTACTGTAATTGGGTGTGTTTGCAGTTATTGTAACGATTTTGGGGTGTCACTGGGATATCACTATTTGAGATATTATTATTTGGAATATTGTTATTTGGAGTATTATTATTCAAGATTCTGTTGTTGTTTCTATTGCTTTTTTTTTCATTATCACTATCCCTATTATTCCTATCATTTACTCGCGTTATCACCTACTATTACTATCACCATCCTGTACTATTACTACCATTGCAAATAGCAGTAATATCATTGTTCAACTGCTATTATAATTCATAAGTAATTATTATAATTCACAGGAAATTTGTGGATGATCCTTATCATTAACAAATAACATTTAAAGCTCGTTCAGGATGTTATCAGCATTTGCAGATGATTCAGAAATGCTTTATTTTCCCAAATTTTAACTTTTTAAGCTTTTTTTTTTCCTCTTCACATTTGTAGCACAGAAATGCTGTTTTTCAGGCAGGCAGTAATTTCACCCCATCGCCCAGGATATGAAGCACCAAATACGTGCAGACTTCAGGTGGAAATAATTAACGAAGATCAGTGTTCCCCAACCCGGTGTTGGGAGCAAAGACCAACATTCCCAGAATCCCAGAATCGCAGAACCACAGGGAAAGGGGTCCGTAGGGATCATCTCACCCAACCCCTCCAAAGCAGCTCTCTACAGGAGGTCACCTGCCGCCCTGCGGCAGGGAGCAGGGACAGTGACAGCCCAACAAGGCCACCAAGGGGCCTTGAGGTCCTCAGTGCCACCCACCCTGCAGCAAGGGAGCGGGAACGGGGCACAGAGGTGCTCCTTTGGGACTTTGAGAGGCTCAGTCTCCTCTGGGGACATCCCTGAGGGGATGGGGCAGCGGTGCGATGGGCGGCGCTTGGGCTCATGGGGACAGCAAGAGTACTCCAGGCGAGGTCTCAATCGCAGAGCAGATGGGCAGGATCACCTCCCTCACCCTGCTGGCCACGCTGCTTTGGACGCAGCCCAGGGCATGGTTGGCTTTCTGGGCTGTGAGGGTGCGCTGCCGGCTCAAGTCCTTTTGTGCGTGGCTCTATCCTTACATCCCCGGCGTGTATTCGTAGTGAGGATTTCCATG